GAATGGCATATATGCAACATAAAATATTGAGTTTCTACCAGGGCATCAGTGGATTTTCCAAGGAAGAAAGTAGAAAAAATAATTATTAATCAAAAGTAGCATTTTAAAAAAGGATTCATAATTTCAAAACAAATGAACTAATCTGATTGTAACTTTAAAAAGTAGATTTGCAGATGAATAAATGTTTGACTCAAGGCAAAATACAAAATATACCTAGGTAAAATATAAAAATTTAATAGAAGAAAACACAAAGAATTCTGATAGCAATCACTTAGAAAAAGCAGGTTACTTAAAAAAGAATGGAAAACAAAAATCTGAAAGATTTCAGATTTATCTTGGTAGGGGGAGGCAAAAATTTTGAAACACTGGGGCACCTGGGTAGCTCAGGGGTTGAGCATCTGCCTTGGTTCAGGGCATAATCCCGGGGTCCTGGGATCGAGTCCCACATCGGGCTCCCTACAGGGAGTCTGCTTCTCCCTCTGCCTGAGTCTCTCCTCTCTTTGTGTGTCTGTCATGAATAAATAAATAAAATCTTTTTTTTAAAAAAGTCAAAACACTGATAAATTGTTCTAAACTATTAAGTCATAAAAAGCAGGGGTTCTTCAGCCAATTAAGTGTTGATTCATAACAAAATAATACCTAAAAATTCAAGGTTCAAGGATGTTTTTATCATGAAATTTTCTTTTGAGGAGATGTGTGCTACAATTTGCTATCAAATTCTACATTATCTTTAGTGCATCAGTGAGGTTGAATGTATATTGTAATAGAAGAGCAGATATGAGAAGTTTCAAATTTTAGATAAATAGGAACTGTAAAAGTAACTCTAGATATTGAGATGAGTAAAGAGACCAACCACTGTCAAAAGAAGGTTTGTGGCTAGTCCCTTTGGATTTGTGATGCAGTTCTGAGATCATCAGAATCAAGATGATATTTTCATTAATATTATATTTATAGTAGAAAGAAAAACCCTAAAAGAACAACTTTGCACTATTTAAGCTAGTAGAAAAACTGAGTGGGTCTCATGATCAGTAAATAAAAATGATAAATATAATCTTGACAAATAATAGACATAATACTTTAGAAAATAAACTTCAATAAAAATAGCATTATGATAAACTCTAATCCAATTTAAAAAAGAAAAGAAAGTACAGGGGCTCCTAGGTGGCTCAGTAGGTTAAGTGCCTCTTGATTTTTGCTCAGGTCATGATCTCAGGGTTGTGAGATGGAGCCCCACATTGGGCTCTGTGCTGGGCATGGAACCTGTTTAAGATTCTTTCCCTCTCTCTCTCCCTTTGCTCCTCCTCCCCTAAAAACTAAAAAAAAAAAAAAAAAAAAGTTCTATTTTATACTTTAGCCTCAAACCATAGACCAAAATACATTTTAGATGGATGAAAATATGACAATGAAAGTGTTAGAAGACAGCATAAATCTATATGTGTATATCTTATTTTGCCATCACATCATTGCAAAAGCATTTCAAATTGTGACCCACGAGTCAGACATCATAAAACAAAAGTCTGATATATTTGATCACATAAAATATTAAGGCTTATCCATTACTGAAAAGACAATAAATGAAGAAAAATTAGAATAAATTGCTAAAAATGTTTATTTTTCTATGAAGACAGTTGTTGAAACAGAAAATTTAGATAGAAAAAAATGGTCAAACTGAATAAGCAGCCATTTCAAAATTAACAAATTTATATAGGGGAAAGTAGTTAGACACATTTACGGTAACTTGAAAATATTAAAAATAGATTGGCAATTTTTAAATATTTTAATATATGATGTTAGTATTTATAGGGGGGAATCCTGACTTGTAGTTGATACAGGGTGAATTTATACAATCTTTCTACAATATAATTTGGCAATATTTATCTAAAGTCTTTAAACGTTTATGCTGATTGGTCCAACAACAGCACATTTCAGAATTTATCTTCAAGAAATGAGATAACTACAGAGATGTATGAACAAGAGTGATTTCTCAGTTTCCCAAAAGAGTGCTCAGTTCTGAGAGATATTCAGCAAAGTAGAAATGATTTATGACTATCTGCATTCAGAGACTTGAGCAAAAAGTGTTGACTTGAAACTGAAGTATCTAAGTAAGGAATAAGAATGGGGAATTCAAAGACATGGCAGGTTTATTTTTGCTTTCTTTTTCTTTCTTTTGTTTTTATTTTTAGATTTATAGCCAATGCCAGAAATTAAGGAAAATTCAAGATATATACTAGAAAGGTACATTAACAATAGCTGCTAAGAGAAATTAACTTTTTAATGCTTATTTTAATATATTTTTTTACCCTTGGACAGTTCAATGTGTGTTTTCTTAGTTGTGCAATTTTCTTCCAGGTGGAGACTGAGTGACCTATAGCCTTACTTATGCTTGTAGCTTTCTCATTTTCAATTTATGTCTTCTGAGATGGCCTTGAGAGTTACATTGGAATGTTTTTTATTGCCAGATCTTTATTCAGTTGACCAGAACTCAGATCATATGGTTACATTCAACTGAAGTGAAGCTGGAAAATGTTTAGCTCTGTGTACTGAAAGAAAAGGAAGCAAGTTTGTTATTAGCTAGAAATATCTTCTTCAATATCCCCTTCTGATCAACTAAACATTTTCCCCTCTTTTCCTGCCATACTTTGTCCGAAGAGAAAACCTAATGTACTATCAAGCCTATGTAACCAACTCAAAGGCTAATATTTTCAAATACACACAGTCCTCTTCATCATATCTGGATACATTAGTCCAGGGACAAATTAACCAAAAAACAAATTATTATTTTTTAAAAGATATTATTTATTTATTCATGAGACACACACAGAGACAGAGACATAGGCAGGAGAAGCAGGCTCCCTGCTGACAGCCCGATGTGGGACTCGATCCCAGGACCCCAGGATTATGCCCTGAGCTGAAAGCAGTTGCTCAACCACTGAGTCACACAGGCGCCCCCAAAAGACAAATTATTAATGCTCCCCTCTACCCATACACAAAATACAATGCTAGAACACAGCCATGAGGAAATGCTTCTTAATATAGATGCTCCCATTTGGAAATAAAGAATGGGAAACACTGAATAGTCATTATCCATAACAACTATGAAAACATGCCAGACTGGCCTTAAAAGATCCCTCTGCCTTGGCAGTAGTTGTAATTCCTTAAAGAAATGGAGTTCTCTGTACACTCTTGTCTTTGCTTCCCCCAAGTCTACCCCATGGGAGGCTCAGTTTGTCTGTTACAGTCCATGGTCACATCTGAAGTGTTTGATTGGGAATATGCTCTTCATGGGAACTAGTCCACTTCTTGCTTGCACCAAGTTTGGGGATCTTGAGGTTGTTTGAAGTTTTAAATAGACTTTTTTTTTCTATCTAGAAATACACTACTTTCACCCAATAGTTTCATTAAAAACACAGTAGACTCCTGGTATGTCATGCCTACAATAATACTTCAAGATCTTTTGAAGGTATAATTGTGAAGCCTAATTTATTTCTTTAGTTTCTCTATCCTCTAAATCCCTCACTTAGAATATACGTAGTTACCATGAGATGTCTGCAACATGGACTTGGGAAGGTAGGCAGTATATTCAATCTGATCCTCAGCAGTAGGGCTGAGCCTTAGTGGGTTTAGTTGCTCAAAGCTTCACTTAGTTTTATCCCTTATTGTGTGACTTCCTTAAGTAGTTGATTTTTCTAGACTTTTGAAGTTCCCAGTTGTCTAGGCTTTCTTTTGATCTTTCCATTTCTGCTTGAAAAATGGCTATTTTTGGGGGGGATCATCTCTTTCCTGTAATTTTACTAAAGGATAAATGTGAAAGTATATTATTAATCTCTATTTCTCCAGTTACTTTCTCTAAAACTACGAGTCAAATAGGCACTTGATCCTTTACATTGAGTATTCATTTCCTCCTAATGTCAATCACACTTAACCCAATTGTAACACCTTCCTCTCCTTGAAATACATTCTTCTCTTTGATCAGCTACAACATACTCTACAGGGTATTTTCCTCTCTCACTGTTCTTTCCTTCTCAGTCAGTTCTGCTGGAAGCGCTTTCTCTTTAGACTTTAGATATGGGAGTTCCTCAGTTCAGTTTTCAGACTTCTTCTCCTCTCTATCTAGACTTACTCCCTCGGGGAGTTCATCAATTGCTATATCTTTAAGTAAGATTTATATGACAATAAATCCTAAATTATCATTTCAGTGCCAGCGTTTCCCATGACGTAATTTTATTTTTTAAACAATATAATTGTGTTCATCACACTAAACACACACACACACACACACATTCACAGATATATATTCAGAAGGAGAAGAGGAAGGAAAGGCATAAAACCTTGCAAAATTGTACATTTATCTGACCTGGCACCTGATGGCTCAGTTGGTTAAATGTTGGACTCTTGATTTCAGCTCAGGTTGTAATCTCAGGATTGTGAGATTGAGCCCTGCATTGGACTCCATGCTGAGTGAGGGGTCTGCTTAAGATTCCACCCCTCTCTCCCCTTCTCCCTCATGTGCTCTCTCTCCTTCTTTACTTTTTTAAAAGATTTCATTTATTTATTCATGAGAGACAGAGAGAGAGAGAGAGAGACAGAGACAGAAACAGAGACACAGGCAGAGGGAGAAGCAAGCTCCATGCAAGGAGCCTGATGTGGGACTCGATCCTGGGTCTCCAGGATCAGGCCCTAGGCTGAAGGCAGCGCTAAACCACTGAGCTACCTGGGCTGCCCTCTCTCTCCTTCTTTTAAGAAAAAGTTTTTATATGTGTATTTGTTTATCCAGTCTTAAAATATAAAGTCAACAGCAATTGTGATCAATGTGGCAAATGTTATATCTGCAGGTATATTGTACAAATGAATATTTGTTGACTAGATGGTTGGTTCGATACCATTAGTGAAATTTTACCACAATAGAAATGGGCTAATTTTCAAAATAACTCATTCTAATGCAGATATATACTCTATACCTAAATAACACATCATTTGTATGATTTTATTCTATTCTCTAGATCCCAATGCTCTGGCTGGCCAGACTGGCCCTGATCATGCTCTTATAGGAGGAATAGTGGCTGTAGTTGTATTTGTCACGCTGTGTTCTATATTTCTGCTTGGTCGATATCTGGCAAGACATAAAGGTAGGTAATATTTAATAAAATATTCTTAAGTTTGGCAAAAAACTATTTTAAAGACAGGCTTAATTCTGAAATATTAAATGAATATATGTATATATATGACAGAGATGTAAATGCAAAATTATTTCAGGGAATTTCTGATTGTTTTACTTAATGAAAGTTGGATTGATTTGGTAAAATAATGCTTAACCAATGGCCAAAGTTCACAGAGTGAGTCACTGGCTCAGAGGGAGAAATAAAAAGCAAGTTTGTAATTTATCTCCAGGATTGACATTCAACTATAATGTCAGACATTTGGTCAACATTTTTGTTCGTAGGTTTTTAGATACACATATGGCCATATGAGTGAAGAAAATATGTAATTTCCAAAAAAGATTTTATTTATCCATGGGCGATACACACGGAGAGGCAGAGACACAGGCAGAGGGAGAAGCAGGCTTCCTGTGGGGAGCCTGATGCGGGACTCGATCCCAGGACCTTCAGATCATCACCTGAGTCAAAGACAGATGCTCAACCACTGAGCCACCCAGGTGCCCCAAGAAAATATATAATCTGTTTTTTCCAAAGGGCTGGGTAGTGAACTATTGACATAATCTACTTTTAAGTGGGGCTTTCAACATGAAGGATGACACGTTTGATGTGATCATTATCAACATCTTAACAAAGGACCCTGATTACTACAGCTGCAAGAGGCACATGGTCTGTATCCCTCATCAGAGGAATCAAACTACTCATTACCCATTCCAGTTAGGCAGTTGCCTCTAGTTAACCTGACCACAGCTTCATCTATAACACACACCTGAAAGCTGAAAGACAGTGTGCAACAGGAGAGTGAATTGTGTGGTTTATTTTGTCTCAGCATATGTTACAACATACAAGAAATCTGGTACAAGTTTCTTCCTAAATGAATGTAGCTTGAATGCTGGCTATTTTACCAGTCTCACAGAACTCACACATATATATTTTTTTTCTTCCAATACCCACAGGAACATACTTAACAAATGAAGCTAAAGGGGCTGAAGATGCGCCAGATGCTGACACAGCCATTATCAATGCTGAAGGCAGCCAAGTCAATGCTGAAGAGAAAAAAGAGTATTTCATTTAAAATGCAGGCCAAGATTATGAGTTTTCCTTATCAGGCTGGCTGCTGGAGAAAACTGGCTATCATCTTTCAGAATTCATTTCTACCATCTTCCGCTACCTTTATTAACTTCCATACCGTACTGCTATCAGTAGCCAGTGTATACCAACAATCAGCTGTCGAAAGCATCATTCTTTAATTACTGTACCATACATAATGCAGGACATTTCTTACTGCCTAAATTCCACACCATTGCTCTTTTAACATACAGTGCTTGAATATACAGCCTTAACAATGTTAATCATCTCTCTGGATCTTGGTATTGAATTGTTTTCTACATTGAAAAGAAGTATGCAAAGGTTTTTTTTTTCCCTCATTTTTCCCTTTAAATCATAAATTTTGTCACTTTATCATGGGAAAGCTTTCACAAGGAACAGGATTAGGTAAAGACCTAACATGTTTAAGTTTAATCAGAGATTAGAGGTTTACAATGTTTTCTACATGTCTACCTTTAAAGACATGTTTGGAAACTTATGCCCTAGAAAACACAAATGAAAACACTGTAGAATAGATTCTGGAATGTTTGAGATTATACTGGTGAAGCTGTATCAATGTGCTATTTTAAAATATAGTATTTGATACAGGAGCCATGTGTATGAATTGCAATCATGACATGACATTTTATATAATTATATAGATCCCACCAGTAGGTATTTTAGCTTCATTTACCAATAAATTTTTACAAACATTTTACTGCTTTGGGAATCACAAGGATTTCATTCATTTCCCTAGTTTGATTCTATAATTTATTTGCCCCATAAAGACCCACCTGCCTAAACAAAACTGAAGTATCCATAGGGCACAATTTTGAGACATTTAGTATCTGTATATAGTGCATATAATAAATCCAATTAAACATTATTTGATACATATTTAACTTTTTTGGCTGTAGGTAATTCAGTCATAAGTAAGCATTTTCTAATGTCCATTATATCCCTTTAGATATTACTTAAACCAATATTATAAGTAGTTAACATGTATTAGTATTTTTGTCTGTATGTCCTAGCACTGTTCAACAACAAATTTTTCTAGTTCTTGTTAATTTTTATTTGTTATACAATGGAAGCACAATGTTATAAGGAAAGGTAATTTTAAGCTAACAACCAGTGCACAGCCTCAGGTTTTAAATTACAACCACAGTTGAATAATGACCTAAAAGTAAACTCTTAGTTTGTTAAAAATTTACAAATTTTAATTTGGCAGTTCCAGAGCTGCTTACCTATGTTGGTTTGCCAAAAAAGAAGTGTTTAAGATATGTTTTCTGTATAAATGAACTAATTCTTTATATTAAATTCCTGTCTATGCATTTTGTGAGGTACAAACTTATGAAACAGTGAGTGATGGAGAATTTCTGCCATGCTTTTAACTCCAGGGTGAAAGTCTCTTTCTCTGGATTATTTCTGAAATTTTGGTGTATTTAACCATTAATATCTGCTGTATTCTTGAATATGACATAGAGTCAATCTAAAGTCATATTATTTCTTCTAGTAAACTACAATATTGCTAGATTAGTTCTCATTAAATTTATTATATGCTAAAAATTAAAAAGTCCAGTTAGATAAAAATTATTTTCCCATTTGCAAGCATTGCACCTTTAAGAAGAAAACAAATATGATGATATGGTAGCTATACTTGTGATGTCTGAAAGCATGATGGTCTATGGTTTTAAAAATAATATCTTGGAATTTATTTTTGGGAAATGAGGATGGTTGGGTATGACATCATGTATTAATGTGAAATGAAAGACAAGGGTGCTGTATCTTAGATTATTTATCAGAAAAGTATAAACTTTTAAAGACAACATTAGAATTTTAAATTTTTTTTGATTGTTGAAGCATTTATCTTGTTGATTTCTTACAAAAGGAAAAGGACGATGTCAGTCAAGCAGCACTTTTTCAGAATATACAGAACATAAATAATATGATGTGGTTGAGTGTTAACATAATAAATCATATACAGTATGACATTTTAAGGAAATAAGTCTGCATTGATGTGATTGCATGCTTGTTTTTACAGTTCACTCCATACCATCTGTGGAAAAATGCAATAATATGTTAATATAGTAGGGTAGTTTGAGAGAATCAGGTAGGTGCTACTAGACACACTGAAACTAGAATAGGTTTATAAACTGTTCATATCTTTCAATGCATAATCTTTAGAAAGACTCCACAAAACAAAATTCATCCTGTTAGTACAAAATGGAAAGGTTCTTATTACAGAAGTAAGTTGTATAAACTGCATCATCAATTACTATTTAAAGCTTAATTTCAGGATGCACTTACAAAATTACTACTCTTCATTGATGCTGTATTTACATTCCTCTTCATTTTGTCTATATTCTACTTGGCTCCAAATGTTAAATTGTTGCCTAAATAACTCGATCATTATTTATAGCACTGTAAAATTAGAAATCAAAAATTAGTTGTATTTCAAAGTTTTTGACTCTTTTAACCCTTTAGAATAATATAAAAACTCAACCGAATTCTTTAAAAGAAAGTAACTTACATATTATGATTTGTGGGCTCTAATAAAATGTTTTGCCAGTTAAAATAGTCCAATTTCAATTAGGTATAATTTTTAGTTCCTTAAAAAATAGCAGTAGAATTATATTTTCTTATCTTTAAACTTATTCTATTCCTACCAAATAGGGGAAAAATTATAAAAATTCTGCTCATTTCTACAAAAATCAGGAAGAAAACACAAAATAATATTTTGAAATGGAACCATGTCAATTGCAATGTCTGAAATGTGCACATGTGTATGCACAGGGCCAAATTCTGTCTCTGCTTATTGAGCACAGTAGCTATGGAACTCAGTGGAAGGAGTGTGAACACACATATATCCGTAGTAGAATATGGAACATTATTCTTTACCAAAAGTAGCTATTCTCTGCCAGTGTACTGTTTATAGTGTAAATTGATTGTCCTCCATCAAAAAAGGGTAAACAGCATTTTTTCCCATTTTTGAGTGTCCTAGATAGAATGATTATTAAAATTAGGAAGAAAAAGGAAAGTTTGTTAGTGCAAGAGCAAAGATAGGACACATGACTGACCAGAGTATTGATGTGTGTGTATTTACATGTGTGTGTATGTGTGTGTGTGTAAAAGAGAGAGAGAGACAGAGAGAGAGAGAGAGATTTCAACTTGTTTTCTTTTACCAGAGAATCCAAGAAGCAGTTTAAGGAACCTGATATTGGAATTTAATTTAGAAACTGGATGATCTTATATTGATTCAAGATGCTTAATATTGCGTTGAAACCCAAAACTTAAAATAGAGAAAGAAAACTAACTTTCCTAAATATGGCAAAGAAGCTAACACACCTCATTTATTTTTATTTCTTTGTAAAAATATAAATATCTCAATTAAAAGGACAGGCTCACTTGTAATTATGTACTCATGATTGTAACAGCTTTGAGATTCCATATAGGCACATGTACAGCAGCTGTTTGACCGTGATGGTTCTTCCATGTAACATACCAGTTATCGTGTAATTTAGTGCCACTTATTGCAAAGTGTTACCAAGGGGAGCATTTAAAATACATTTTATTTTCCTTTGGACATAAGGATAACTTGATGAATGATAAATATGAAATTTATGTTATGCTCTTTAATTGTTAAGAAAATGCAAAACCTTGTAGCTTACTGCAACTTCCCCATCATATTGTTGATTACTTAGAGCCCACGAAAAATGCCCAGTTTTATCTCCCTTTGCAAATGGTAATCTGTGATGAATATACAAAACAAAACAAACAAAAAGAACTGGCAACCACAGCTGAAATAAATGAAACATCTAATAAGAATTACTGAGTAATGCTTTTTATTAAGTGGCACAAAGTACACACTAAAAACTATGCAAAATATAGGTAACTACAGTGTACGTACATGTAAGTATCTTGTACTTGCTGTGTATGGATGTTGGAAACCCATGTAATTATAATATGCATTTTGAATATTGGGAAAGAGGAAATCTTAGTGTAGATAATAGAAGTTGTTTTGAAATATACACTGGCAATATTGAAATTTACTCAGTGCAATATCTGCAATTCTATTGCTGGATACTAATGCAAAGGGATTTCAAAGTCTTCTTTAACACGATCCAAGAGATTGCTAATCTTCACCTCCCACACACTAAGGCATTAATTAAAAATATAATTGATTCAACAACAAACACTTTAAGTTTTCCTTATTTAATCATTAATGTGGACACAATAAAATTATTTGGCTTAGTTTTTAGCACTACTGGAGAGAAAGAAATAGCCTGAGTTTTAGACTTTGCTTGATATTTAATTGAATTTGGAATTCTTAAACTTTCCTTGAAGTGTGTATTTTAATGGATTATGGTACTTTTATTATAAGTACACACTTAATCAAAGAACATAGGTTACCTTTAACCGTTAAAGTCACTATATCTTAATGGGAATTTTTTTAGACCTTTTTTCTATTTTTTTCCCCTTTCTCTCCCTATTCTTTCTGTCCCAGGCATGCCCTTTGCACTTATACCCTTCCAAAGGCAATGGATTGAAAGCAACTAGCAAGATTATAAAGATAGCTAAAGGGAACAACATGTAAGAATGGGTTCTAAACTCATCAGCATTTTTATGTATTGAGATTATTAATATTGAATGCAATAGTTATTGGATATAGCTGGTAAGTTCTCTGCCATGCATACTTACAATAATCCTTCTACCTCTCACTTTTAACATGGGCTATGATATAGAAGAAATAATTATTTGCAGGATATCCCAGGAAGCATTCTTTGGGACTATCATTAACAGTCCTCTCCCCAGCCCCTGGGAAATCTCAAAAGCCAATTTCTTTTAGTGTATTCAACAGTGTATGGATCTGCATTTGTTTTTCCTTTTCTATCATAAACTTTTCCTGTGGGCAAAATATGCTAACTTTATAAGAATAGTTCTTTTCATGTGTACTTAATATTTCAATGTAATATAAATGTGTTGATTTTTTAAAAATAACTTAAATGGCAACACTTTGGAATCCAATCTTATATTTCATTTAACATTTAAAATGCAACAGTTTCTTATAAATTAATGTTGTGCTTTTAGGTAAAAAATTATATATATGATTTATTTACCCAAAAACTGTTATCTATATAAGACAAAAATTTAAGTATTTAAAATTGGCTCCTTATTAACAAATAATACCTGAGTAATGAACACAAAGTATTGCCACAAATGCCCACTTTACTGTGTCTGCTTAGACATAATATGAATTTTTCAAATGATGTAATTTATTCCAAAAGGAAATTATATTTTAAAAGCAGATTTTTCTTGAGAAAAAATTATACAAGAAAATATTTCAAATTATGATGTTAAATCTATAAAATATGCTTAAAGTAAGTTGTTTCTATGTTATGTGGTTATGTTACAAATAATATTGGCCGAATCTTTACCATCTTATATATATATATATATATATATATATATATATATATATATATATATATATTACAATAAATGTATGGTTATTTTGGAGAGAATGGGCCCACATGTGAAAAAATGTAAAGAAAAAACATCTTTTTCCCCTATAAAAACATACTGTATATTTCAAAAGAAGAAAGTTAAAAGATATTTGAAGATTGCAGGGGCAAAAGAAAAACCTACCAGGGCTCAGCACTTAAGCACTTTTCCCACATCCAGGGTCAGAACAGCAGTGATTCCCACACGGACTTTTAAGTGCGGTATGAATGCCACATTACACTTCTATTATACACAGTACTGTCAAACCTCAAATGTTTTCTTTCTTCAAATGCTTTTCCTTGTACATGATACTAGTAGACACTTTTCTCTTTATATTTGCTGATAGTGAAAGTTATATGCAATAAAATGTTTGATGGTTGAAAGCAGTGGTCACCAGTTGGTTAAAAAAAAAAAAACTATGAAATGTAAACTGAATTGTTATCTCTCTATCCTTTTTGCTTTTCTCTGTGTTTCTAATGTATTGAAGGATTCTCATAAATAGAAAAATAATTTAGAGATTTTTCAAAAGTAGTACTCTTTCTCCTTATGAGTGTATAAAATTTTAATCTCTTTACAAATTTATTTAACTGTACCTGCTGTACTGATTGTAGATTCAATGATGCAGTTAAATAGTAACCCGTGAGTTTGGGATTACTTACCTATTTTCTTCATATTCAGTTCACATCAGTATTTGTGAATTGGTTGTTTAGCTTTTCATTCAACCAAAAAAATTCCCTCAAGAAAGCTCCATTTTTATCATAAATATTTTAACATAATCAACGTTGGAACAAGTCTGCCATGTTAAAAAAAATTTAAAGACTTATCTCTGAAAATGGTACCCAGAAATGCAGGTGTTCCCAGTAATATTGCTTCAAAAATAAAATGTTCTATTTATATGACATGAAATTCATAACTTTTGGAAGGGTATATTGATGACAACATAAAAATGAATTCTGTGCTGTAAAGATTTGCCAAAATAAAGCATATTGCACAGAAGATAAACACAATTATTGAATCTACTGTTATCATAAACATTTTCAAAAAACAAAATGCATATTGTAATATTAGGTACATGACACTTGCATGTTGCTATGCCTATATACTTACAAAGTATTCAATGTGTACTTAGTGGCGCTTAAAATATGTCATGTACAACTCTTATAAACATTCTTACAGGGTTCCCATTTGCACTTCATCTTTCACTGAAGTCTTGTCAGAAAAAAAAATTGTCTAATACATATGGAAAAATAAAATTTGAATTTTAGTTATCTGTTGGACATTACTGAATTGTCTATTCATTTAGTTCATTTTCTTAGGTCTGAAAGCAGACAATGAAAGATGGAACTTTCTTTCTTCCCACTGACAAATTATAAAAGATGTCACAAAACATATTCCTTTATACCAAACACATTATTTTGCATATCTTTTTCAACTGAGTACATTATCCATTCATTTTAGATTTTCTTAGTGATGCCTATTTTCCTTGTACTAAGTGGAAGTTTAAAAATTAAACGGTAGTAAAATAAATGTTATCTTATTTGTACAACATTTAATCGTTACTCCTTTGAAAATATGAACCTTGTAATATGCTGACTAAGGGTAAAAAAAAATGTTGCTGACTTAGGGAAATTTTCTTGAGATCGCCAAAATTTCAAAAGTCTGTAAAGGTAATTTTACATTCACTTATGTGTGTTTACTAATGTTGACTAGGAACAGAAGCAAAAATGCCTAAAACCTATTTTTTTTTAATTTTCACACTCTAACCAGTATTATATATATTTCAACTACCTAAGATAATACAATCTATAATATATCCATCCTAAGCTTATGCCAGTAAGAATTTGAGATAAGCTTTTAAATTTATGGGAGATTTTCTTTGTGTCTTTGGAAGTTCACTTACCATAAGATATTTTATAGTCTACTTTAAATAACAGATTTTGTTATACAGGGTAAGCCAAAGGCTGTACAAGAATTAGTGTCATTGGGTCTGATATTTGTGTTAGACCATGAAATATTCCATTAAAATTTATCTGTAAATACAAGGCAAGATTTTGTATCTGGTTTATTTTATTAAATAACATTTTATTCATTTTAATTCATTTTTCCCAGCAACACACCTGAATGAAAATGATGATGTTTGAAATAATTGCATTCATTGACACAGTTATTTTTCTTTCTGATAGTCAAAATGCCCACTTTCATACAGCCATGCAAACATATACACATATGACACTCATGTTTCCTAGATGGAAATCAACTGTGTTTTCATATTGGCAATTATTGTTTCTGTCAAAATATCCTTAGGCTTTTTTTTTTAATCAAGGAGGCATACTGGAAATTGTACTTCATATAATTCACTAAAGAATAGAGTTAAGTTTAGGTGTTCTTGATAATTCCATAGTGGCTTCAGTCCATGAGAGGGACTTTCACTAAATGACAATTCTGGGATGATACTAAAAGTAACTGCATGCTCCTTTAAAACAAGTTCCAGTACATACATAGTTTTAGATTTTTTTCCAAACCATGTTTTACTTGTTTAGTGCAATTTCAGGATTTTTTTTATGTTTAGAAATCTAGCAAATAAAAAATGTGTAAAGAAAATATTAAAGGGAAAAAGCAGTTTCCTAATTGTATTTTAAAGGCCACTTAATGTTATGCTACATTGCATGTTATTTAGTGAAAACATAACTATTGAACACCTACTGTATATCATCAATCTACTTCATGAAGTACACTAAGAACCTAAATATATTGTTCTATGCCCAGACCTTCATAACTTTAATAATTAAATTATCCTTCCAAGTAATGACCACTTTCTGTATTTTTGGCATTCCTATGTTGGACAGAAGAATGGAGGGATTCTGTTAATAATAATAATAATAATAATAATAATAATAATAAAATAATAATAGTATAATGAAAAAAGTCTCGCAATTTAGTCAAACCGAAAAGCAAATAAATAGCATATATTTTGGGACGCCTGGGTAGCTCAGCGGTTGAATGTGTACCTTCATCTCAGGGCATGATCCCGGGGTCCTGGAATCGAGTCCCACATTGGGTCCATGCAGGGAGCCTGCTTCTCCCTCTGCCTATGTCTCTGCCTCTCTCTCTGTGTCTCTCATGAATAAATAAATAAAATCTTAAAAAATAGCATATATTTCAACAAGTGATCATGGTCTCATACTGGATAGCTATGTCTCTCTGAAGATTTTCTATGTTGTATTAAAAAAATAAATCTGATTAATGAGCTAGTACTTTATTATACCTATAAATTTAGGAAATTAATACTCTCAGGAGTGGCCATAACAATGACTAGAGTGTGTGCATTATTATTAAAAGTTCTAAAAACACATGTCTGGCACATACTATCAAAACTTGAATTCACTCTGTCTTTACTAAACTAAATCCTTACACAGATGTTCACACAGCAGATTTAAGGAATACATTTTCACATAGATTGGAGATACTGTGGGTCTTTTACATTAATGAATTATTGTTGGAAAACAACATAATACTCCTGAAATATGACAATCATTCACTCTAAGATTTGAAAACATTTAACTATTAAGATTGGTATAACAGAAATATATGTCTTTCTTACTCACAAATTAAGAGAATAAAGGAAGTGGAAATTTTTTCAGTGTATTGGGGAGAAAAAATTATTAAAATGGAATTGGAAAATTCCTAAAGATAAGGTGTGTCTACTTGGCAATTTTATCAAATTGGAACATGTCCTAATAACTTTCTGTCAGAGATCAGAGAAACTTTACAAAACTGCATCTCAAAGGGTCAGTGATCCCACAAACTGTGACTCCGTGGCAAGAGGATTTTGGAGTCTAAGGACTCCCACTCTAACCACATAACCTACCAACTGCATATTCATTTGCTTCAAAAGTAATTTTAAAATTGGATTTGTTTCCATGAAAATAGAGAACCACTAACTCTATGCCCCTGCTATAAAATTAATTCCCATGCTTCAGGCTATATTTTCAGGCACTAAATAACACTTTTATTACCTCCTGTGGGACCAGAGTCCCTTCTTTGGTCTCCAGGTGTCATAGAAGACAATAGTATTTTTCATCATATTTCCCTTAAAGATCTTCCTTCTGATGGAGTCATGTCATATGGAACATACACACAGTACTTTGCTCAGAAATTGGGGAACTTTTCAAATCTAACCAGCTGCGGAAACACTTCTTAATCATGTTTGTCTTTCTTGTTTGCAGCCACTAGCTATGATCTTGTTGTTAAGATATTGTAATATGGCTCCCATTTCCCTTTCCTGACATACAGCTCCTAAAAAACTTGGAATCTCCAGAAATAATAAGTGTCTTTTTGTATGTTATGAGATGACTAGTGGCTAAGGGCTTATGGATAGCCACAGGATGGAGGCTGATTGCCAGAGGACTATCCAGGTGATCAGAGGGTTGGAATTTTCAGCTCCAAACCCTGACCTTTGGAGAGGGAAGGGTAGGTGGTAGAGTTAATAATCATCAGTGGCTAATGATTTAATCCATCATGGTTATGTAATAAAGCCCCCATAAAAATCTCTGTAGTATGGCAGTACTTGGAGAGCTTCCTACCTGGTGAACATGTAGAGGTGATCAGAGGGTGGAGAGTTTGGGGAGGAAATGGAAAGCCTTGTTCCCCTTTCTCCATACCCTGCCTATGCATCTCTTCCTTCTGGCAGTTCCTGAGGTATGATCTTTATAAACTGTTTACCTGAGTTTTGTGATCAGTTCTAGCAAATGTTCAAAACTGAGGAGGGGGTTGTGCTCTATTTGTAACCAAGTTGGACAAAAGTTGCAGCTAATGTGGAGACCCACCATTGTCAATTGGCACCTAATGTTAGGACCAATCTTGTGAAACTGAGCCCTTAATCTGTGGGATCTGCACTAACTCCAGGTACTTAGTGT